TCAAAAGGTTTGCGTTTAATAATCGAATTGAAGAAACACATGAAAGACACCTTGCGGCGCCGCGTGCAATCTGCCCATTCCGTTTTCACTCGGTGCCAAATTTAACAACATGGATTTAAAGACGTGTTACATAAACAAGTACGTGTTTAATGAGTTCTCTTGCTCTATGCATGTGCCCAATAACAACGCATCTTCATCTGTGTAATGGTCACTTTTTTTTCTGTTGACCTATATGGCATTCTGCGTTCGTTTTAAGTTTGCTTGTCATTGTTAGCCAGCGAATCATTTCGACTTTAGAATCAATTTTTCTTGAACTTCCTGCTTCACATAATAACTGCTTTGTGTCAGAATCCAACTTATTATTTTCGGATAGATTGAAGACGGTGTGAATCTAAAGTTCTATCTCAGTTGAATCTATCTAAGAATCTATCCTAAGAATCTAAGTTGATCTAAGTTCAAGTCACCGGCCTTACAATTCAGACGACATTTGCGCGCGCGGCAAGCGTAACATTTTAGAGAACAACTACAAAAACATGCAGCGAAGTTTTTGCACGGCAAATAAACGAAATCCCGCCAAGACATGCAATATTTGTGCGCGTTCAATTGTTCACGCGCTGCTAGAGTATGCTACATGACACGCGGCATGAAACGCGAGAGCAACTCTGAATGCGAATTAAGCATTATTTATCTATACTTCTGTCTATCACTGCAAAAGAATATTCGCTAAGAGGAGGGCTAGCCGCTCGAGCGCATTGGCATTCCAACGAGATGGCCGATGCCTGCTGCTTGCTGCCCGCGAGTGGACCGTGTCTATCGCGACAGTTACATTTCTTCCGCGAAGAAAACGCACCATTTATGGAAAATGGTTGTCGTTTGTTTGTGCGCCATTATCAGTCTGAAAGGAATCGGCGACTCCACGAGAACTGTTAAGATTTCAGTTTTTGTAGCTCGTAACGCGCAAATTGAGGCGCCATCGAGAAAAGCCTCTTGTGCTTCGTAACTTCAGCTGCAGCATCGCGTATTTTTACTCCTTAAGTGCCCACGATTCAAACACTTTATGAGAAGGAAATCGCTGCAATCTCATAAAATCACTCGAAAGTCTACATAAATTCCGCGTGCGGCGCATTCGCTCTATTCGCGTCATTCTCTCTCTGGATTCATCAATTTCAGCGTTTTCGTTGTTATTTTGCACGCGCGTTCATGTTCGCTATTTGCATTGTGCCATTGTCAGTCGCTGTTGCTTTCGAACTCGCATTGCATTGTGGGCGTTGTCGCCAGGAGTGTCAATATTACGGCAGCGTGCTTTCCCGGCCCTCTCGAGGAGCCTGAACTCTGCGCGAGTAAAGCGCTACACGAACGCAGTGTGCTTGAAGCGCCCGTCTGCAACACTTGGTATTTAACGTCGGCACTTGCCTTTTGATGCCGCAGGTTTGAGACTTTGATATCCTGTTTGCTGATGTACGGCGGAAATTAATTTCATTATCGGGGTCCGGCGCCGCGGCCGGGGAGAAATGGCCGGCGATCGAGGCACGAATGAGCGTCTGCTAGCTTTCGAGAAACGAAATCAGTCATACAGAGATGACGTCAGCGCTTCAATAGTTGAGCTTGATCTCGCACTAGCATTCATTAAGGATTGCACGTTCTTCAACTACGATTACAAGGAGAGTAACATGCATGAGCTCTCCTCTCGGTCCTCTCTCCTCTCCTTTCTCTCTCTCTCTCTCTCTCTTCTCTCTCTCTCTCTCTCTCTCTCTCTCTCTCGTCTGTCTCGCTCTCTCTCTCGTCTCTCTCTCTCTCTCTGCTCTGTCTCTCTCTCTCTCTGCTCTCACTGCTCATCTCTCTCTCTCTCTCTCTTTCACTCTCCTCTCCCTCTTCTTCTTCTCGTCTTCGTCTCTCTGCTCTGTCTCTCTCTCTCTCTTCTCTTTCTCCTGGTCTCCTTTGCTCTCTCTCTACTCTCTCTCACCTCCCTTCTCTTTCCTCTCTCTCTCATCCTCTCTCTCTCTCTCTCTCTCTCTTCTCTTTCTCTCTCTCTTCTCTCTCTTCTCTCTCTCTCTCTCTCTCTTCTGTTCTCTTCTATCTCTCTCTCTATCTCTTTCTCCGTCGCCCACTCTTTCTATACTCCTCGCTCTCCGTGCTCTCTCTCGCTCTTCGCTTGCTTTTCCTTGCGTGCTCCTCTCTCGCTCTCTATTTACAATTCTTACGCGCGCTCTCGTCGTCTCTATTACAATCTCTTACGTGGCCTTTTTTGCCTCGCCTCCATTTCTCTTCCTGGTGTATTAGGCGGGATGCAGGCAGCGGATGCATGATTAGAAAGAACACCATATATTCTCACGTTTTGAATAGATTCGTTAGTAATTTTAATATTTTTTTAACAATTCGACACACATTTATCTCCTTTCTATCCCCGCCGGTCGGTCTCTCGACACTTCTCTTTCATTCTATCTACTCATATCTCTTCTATCTACTATGTATTACTTGTCCTCTCTTTCTCTACCACCCTCCTTTCTCTTTCGCCCCCTCCCTCTCTCTCTCTCTCTCTTCCTCTTTCTCTCTGCGTCCCATCCCTTGCCCACTCGCTCACATCGTTCTTTTTCGTTTGGCTTTCTCGCTCGCTCTCGCAAGAGTTCAGCGCTCTCTGTCACTGATTAGATCGAGCATCTATAGACAAAGCGCCTGTCGTACGCCTCAGCCGCCCGCGTGCGTTCACCCGTCTCTGTCACCAGCGCTATCGGATGATTGCTCATTACGATGGCGACACGCCGAAAGGCACGCGCATTTTTCTCCTTCATATTCTTTCTTCGTCGTTGCAAGCCAGCATGCGTCAGTCAGGCTGTCCGTTGCCGGTCGCGCACGGCGTTCCGACTCAGCAGCGGCGGTAGCGAGCCAGCAGTAGCAAGCAGTAGCAGCAGTTAGCAGCAGCCAGCAGCCAGCGGCAAGTAGCCATCAGTTAGCAGCAGCAGCCAGCAGTTAAGCCAGCAGCAGCGTAGCAGCAGCAGCGGGCAGCAGCTAGCCAGCTAGTTAGCCAGAGCAGCAGTGCGCGGCAGCCAGCAGTAGCCAGCAAGCCAGCAGCAAGCAGCAGTTAGCAGCAGCAGTAGCAGCCAGCGGCGGCAGCAGCAGCTGCGCAGCAGCATGTAGCAGCAGCGGCGGTAGCCAGCAGTAGCAGCCCCAGCAGCAATCAGTAGCCAGCAGCAGCAGCAGTTTGCAGCCCAGCAGCAGCAAGTTAGCAACGGCTGGCAGCGGCATCTGCCAGCAGTCGGCAGCAGCAGCAGTAGTAGCAGCAGCAACAGTGGCGAGACGCCAGCCTACTCCTTTCCTTCCCGCAGAACTCGGTCCGGATTACGATGATCGCATTTTAAAAGCTTCATGTGAATCATTATATCAGAGTCACAAATCCGCGGAGACGGCCCGCACGGCCGTCTCCTCACGGTCTCTTATATCGAAACCTATGACAACTCGCCGCAGCCAAAACACAGCGGCGGCAGCAGCGGCTTGCGGCTCCGTCAATAGCTCCCTCCAGCACGGCGCCGAGATAGAGCTTCATTCCAGCGGCTCTTGATTCTTTCCTCCTCACAGCTGCGGCTCAGCGGAAGTCCGCGCACTGTTCTGTTTTTTTTCTTTCCTAATGGGATTAGCTTAGTGACACCGTTATGGTCTATAATGTGAAAATGATCGAGGTCGTCATCGCTTATATCTATATATCGCGCCATGGTGTGATGTTGCTGCGATGTGGATTGGTTAGGCGTCTGTGCTGTGTGTTCCGTTGCGTGCGTGCCCCCCCTAAAAAGGTGTGCGTGCGTCCTGCTGTTTGTTGTTTGTTTGTTTGTTTGTGTGGTGTGTTGCGTGCATGTGTGTGTGTGTGTGATGCCTGTGGTGTGTTGTGTGTGTGTGTGCGCGTGTGCGTCGGTGCGTGTGCGTGTGGCGTGCATGTCGCGTGCGCGTGCCGTGCTGACGTGTGCGAGTCGTGTGCGTGTGCGTGTGTGCGTGGTGCGTGTGCGTCGGTCCGCGCGTGTGCGTGTGTGTGTGTGTGTGTGTGTGTGTGTGTGTGCGTGTGCCGTGTGCGTGTGCCGTGTGCGTGTCGTGTGCGTTTCGTGCGTGTGCCGTGTGGTCGTGCGTGCGGTGCGTGTGCGTGTGGTGTGCGTTAATGTGGCGTGTTGCGTGTGCGTGTGCGTGTCGTGTGGCGTGTGCGTGTGCGTGTGCGTGTGTATGTGTGCGTGTATGTCTCGTGTGGTGTGCGTGTGGACTCGCGTTGTGTGTGTGTGCGTGGTGCGTTGTGCGTGTTGGCGCTGTGGCGTGTGCGTGTGTATGTATGTGTGTTGGTGTGCGTGGTCGTGTGTGAGGTGTGTGTGTGTGAGTGTGTGGTGTGTGTGAGAGTGTCGTGTGCGTGGTGTGTGTGCGTGTGTGTTGTGTATACGTGTGCGTGTGCGTTTGTGTGTGTGTGTGTGTGTGGTGTTGTTGTGTGCGTGCGTGCGTGCGCGCGTGCTGGCATGCGCGTGTGCGTGTGCGTGTGCGTGTGCGTGTGCGTGTACGTGTGGCGTGTGCGCTGTGACCGCGTGCTGCGGTGTGGTGTGGCGTGTGTATGTGTGCGTGTATGCGTTGTGGTGTTGCAGCTCATCCCCCCCCGTGTTGCGTGTGTGTGCTGTGTGCGTGTGCGTGTGCGTGTTGTATGTATGTGTCGCTGTGTGGTGTGTGTGGCGTGGGTGTGGATGTGTGTGTTGTGTGTGTTGTGTGTGTGTGTTGCGCTGTGTGCGTGGTCCTGTGTGTGTGTGTATACGTGTGTGTGTGTTGTGGTTGTGCGTGTGCTCTCTGTCTGCGTGTGTGTGTGTGTGGTGTGTTGTTGTGTGTGTATGTGTGTGTGGTCTGTTGCGTGTGCGTGTGTGTGTGTGTGTGTGAGTGTGTGTGTGTGTGTGTGTGTCGTGGTGTGTGGTGTTGTGTGTCGTGTGTGTGCGCGTGCTATATATATATATATATATGGGTTTCCGCCTGCCTGCCCCCTAACTTACGGTAGATGTTAATCCTTCGCTCTCCGTCGATGAGCACGGCGATGCCTCGCGTCATGTTGACGCGCTCGGCTATGTACGGTGCGTTGCCGCTCGCGTTCACCGCTCTCATCCCGCCGCCGCCGGCCGCCATCTTGCCGTCCAGCGTGCGCCGCTTCCTTCCGTAGGCGTCGCCGCCGTAGCTGTCTCCATCGCTGTACGACTCGTAGCATTCCGACTGCAACGGATCACGGCGAACGTTATTAGAACGGTCTCTGGTCGGCGGTAGCGAGGGAGGGTTGGGAGTGGAGCGGGAGGGGAGCGGTGGTGGGAGAGATGAGGGCTGTGAGGATGGGAGAGAAGAGGGCCGTGGCGTGGGAGAGGAGAGGGCCGCGGGGAAGGGAGGAAGGAGGGCCTTGTGGGTGAGAGAAAGAAGGGTAGGGTGGCAGAGATGGAGGCCGCGGGGGAAGAGGCTCGCAGTGGGGAGAGGAGGGCTGCGGGGAGGAAGAGAGCAAGGTTGCAGCGAGGAAGAGAGGAAGGTTGCAGGGAGGAAGAGAGCAGGGTCGCGAGGGAGGGAGAGATGAGAGTCGCGGGTAAAAGAAAGAGGTGGGCCGGATGAGAGACGTGGCCGTATATTCAGCCTGTTCTGCTTGCATCTATGACAAATACGACATACGCATATACGCTCTCCTATGACACTATTTGTCATAGGAAGAATCTTCCTATGACAAATACGACATACGCATATACGCTCTCCTATGACACTATTTGTCATAGGAAGATTCTTCCTTAATATTGTTGCATGTGTTGTTGCGTATCATAGGAGTTTAGGTGCGCTATTATGAACCCAAGCAGTGAATTTCAGCTGTAAAGCGGAACGAAGTTGACTCGCCAATATTTGTCATAGGAAGATTCTTCCTATGACAAATAGTGTCATAAGAGAGCGTATATGCGTACGTCGTATTTGTCATAGATGCAAGCAGAACATGTTGCTCTATTCACGGCGCAGTCCCACGGTGCCAGCAATTACCGGCTGAGATTTTTTAACAGTGTTATCTCCGTGTAATCTCTTCTAACCGCTAACGCTTTCACTATTCGACTGTCACGCGCATGCAGGGATGCCGGCGCGGGGCCGTGGTCCCATCGCTATTGGGTACGCCGTTGGAGCGGAATAAATTTAGGCTTTGGCGAAAAACTTAAAAGCAATGCCTCAGCTTCGTGCTTTATCGATCGATTTCCCATTAGCATAGATCCAATTTGGGCGACTGCCAAGCGATAGGTATCTTCTGAAACGCCTCTAGACACGCTCACAGCAGGCGACCGCAACATATTAGCGGTTGGTAAACATGCGGATATGCTACATCGGTGAAATAAATAAAAAGCTAACCAAAATATTATTCAAATAAAGGCAACTTATATATGGGTACCATAGAGGGCCATGGACGTTAATCGCTTATATGATTGCTATTGTTGCGGTCTAAAAAAAAACTCATGTCGATCGCCTTCTGGGTAACACGAACAGTCTGACTACCGGAAAATGTAACGTTTAAAATTAATGTATGAAGAAGCTCCACGCATACACGGTATGTTCTTCCCACACCGTGAGCTTGAAGCCGCGAATAACAGTTTGTCTAGATAGTAACGAAGTCTTAGGCTGGCAATCACAAACAGAGAGAAGGGACACGCACACAGACACATTAATAAATAACTAAATAAATAAATAATTAAATAAACAAACAAATAAATAAATAAATATATATATATATCCTCTTTTCTCAAAACGGTCGTACAATAATAACATTAGCACGAAGGGCAACTTACCGGGAAGCATTCCCTGAAGCAGACGTGCACTTGACATTCGAAGTAAACATCCTGTCGATCTGGGAACTTGAAGGCTTTAAACGGAGCGTAGACGATCGTCTGACCAGGCTGCGGGCGGTCGCGCTCGTGCCGAAAATTCCCGATAATTTTCTTGCCTACCAGAGGGCACCTGAAACACGCGTGTTGCTACTCGTGAGCCACACGTCTCCACGTGAGATTTTTGCTTTGTTTGCTGCCGGCTACACCTGTTACTGTATACGAAATGTTCACAGAATATGTGCGGCCGGCTACACCTGTTAAACGAAATGTTCACATAATAGGTGCGGTTAATCGTTAATTTTAATCTTTACTGCAATTGTTTAGCTGGATATTGTACAGCCAGTGTGTGTACGAATAGACGATGGGGTTGTATTCGTGAATGAAGGATGCGAGATGATCGTATATATGAAACGTAGCGTTTAATTCGCGATAATTTAACCCTGAAATAGCTAGCCGGATAATCAAATAGGCGAGCGAGAAATACTATTTTTTTTAACTATTAAAAAATTAGGTATCAATCTTTTCTGTATGGGAGCTCACCCTTTCTCGTCTACTAGAGGAATGTATTTCTTTCCCGTTCCGTCGTGCGCAACGCATTGCGTGACCGAGATGTCGTAGTCAGCTGCAATAATGACACATAGATGGCGCCAGCGTCCAGTAACGCGTAATAACTAACCAAGCTGGGACGAAACCAGGAAACGCTAACATTTGCGATAATTATGAGCAAATATTCCAACAAACCGCACATTATAGAGCTTGTGCTAGATTGCGAAAATCATTTAACTTTGCACACTGTATAGCTGATAGCACGACTTCCGTTTCCGCGTCACGAGAAATCTGGTGAACTCTGAAAATACTCGTTCCCGACAAAACCACATTCCACGCTAAACTGGCTTGCTTTCATATATCTCTAGAACTATATGCCACGTTGCAGCGTATGTCACCACATTTACATTACCTCACATGCACATAACTACAACTTTCGGCATTGTTGTGCTTAGCGCATACGCACTAAAATATAGTCGTTAATGTGATACGCAGACGCGACTTACAGTTATCGGTCAAGATGGCGGCTAAAGCCGACTTCTGGCCGACCTTCAGGTGTTCGGCGGGACCTTTGGATATGTCCTCCCCGCCAAATATTTGGAACAGCACCTGTGGGATGCCGATGCGGTATGTCGCCACCGTCGTCACTCCAAGATTGCTGCCAAGTATGAGAAACACGGATGATTACGTCTGAGAAAATCTTCAATGATAGTCGAAAGGGTGGGTCCGTTTTCAGTTTCGCAGGTGAAAAAATATGACATTACCCAGTACCCGGTTAATTAAAATCGAAATTTCGGCACCAACGACACCTCACTTCAAACGTTATAACATGTTAGGCTCATGGTGTTATGGCTATTTATATTTCCGACGGCGGGCCGCAGATATATCCACAAATAGGAAGGTAGATTTTAAAGTTTCGTGATGACGTGCATACGCAGTCAGCTGAAACTAGTACGGAATCTATCTACACACGCTAAGCATGGTCTCGCGCCAGTAGACGATTACTGTGAGTTATATATAGAGACGACTGCACTTACGGAGCCGTCACTCCCGTGTTGACCGCCTGCTGCCCGAAGCCCTCGAACTGGCAACGCACGGCGAATGCCCTGTCCCAGCCTTCCAGCACCTCCCACTCCGGCTCTGACATTACCACCAGCACATTGTCGTACACGATCTTGCCGCCATCTTTAGTGTACTCGTCCTGGATAATGTGAGAAAAATAATTCGGTTTATGTTAGATATAGACCATGAAAGACTATGGAAGGCAACTGCAGTCATTTATAGATAGATCGATAATATATTTATTGCTTGGTAATTTTTCAAAAAATACATGATGGCATCAGAGAATATAATATTGAAGTTCATGATATTTACAGTCATATTATAATTTATGGTTAAGAATAAAATTATATTACATGACAGAGCGTTGATTGCATCATAAATATGACAAAGTAATATTTCTTTTAACATTTCCATTTTTGGAACGAGCGTTCTATTTTTATTACATTAAAGCGGGGGCTAAAAAGTAAGCCGTCGTCCAGCACAAACTTTCCTGTAAATTCATTATATGAATTCGCAAGATTAACTGCAAGGCATCGAAAATAACAGACGTAAAGGAAGTAATGTGTAAAGGCGGCGACATTGCTCGTGAGTGATTATTGTTGCTCGTTGTTGCCTCTCTTCGCCGTCTATGATTGGTCGCTGTATTACGACCAGGGAATTTTACGCAGTGTGCTTCCGCGAGAATATTCCAGGTCACGACCGCATCGATATTGGTGTTTGGTTTAGATAAGACGACGTTTACATAATCATACGCGTTAACTATGCTGACGACCGACCAGCGATTATCTACACATCCGGGTTATCAATCATATCACATCACATCAATCAAACGCGGTCTGTCTTTCCGTTTTTCAGCCGCGTTCGCACGTTTTGACAACGAAATTTCGTATATTTTGGATACATTTTTTTTGCGGTTTCATACATTCTGAGGACTACTTTAAGCGACCGTTTCGTACATTTTCAGAACTACTTTTCGCGGAGGTTTTCGTACATTTTAAGATATACTTTTTCGAGGCGATCTCGTACATTTTGAGAACTACTTTTCGCGGCGGCGGCGGCGGCGCACGCGAAGTGGCGCGATGAGCGACGAGCGCGATCTACTTACGGCTGACTGCTTGAAGCCGCAGCTGTCCAATCCGATCACGATCTGCGCCATCTGGTCTCCCTTCCCGCGCGTGCGGCACCCTTGTACGTCGTAGTACTCCTTTGCGTAGATGCGGCCCGAGAACGCCTGGTTGAATCTCAACGTCACGACCATCGTGTTCTGTCCCGGCGGGCACAGCACCTGAATATCTGATACAACAAAGGAGAATGTCGTTTAGAGCAACTCGTGATGCTCGTGGGTTGTGGGAGGGGTGATATCATTCAGGGGGTCTCGCGCAGCACTGAGCGGTAAAAAGGCGCGTGTGAAGATTTTCACGCGCGGCGCGTATATAGATCCAGCAGACAATAGTCGCGCGTAACGCCATTGTGTTGCAGATTTTGCGATTAAATCTATGTTTTTAAATTGTTTTTTTTTCAGATCGTTAAGCTTCGCTTTAACGAGAAAGAAGTCGTCTGTTGTTGCCGTTCGCGTTTGTTTCCCAGCCGCATGTTACCAAGTTTGCACCGATACTATCGTCTCCACCCACACCGTTCCAGTCGCAGCTAACCGACAAACTGCCCACGGCTTTAATCGAATAATATGGTGTGATAGTTCATGACATCGGTGGCGGGGGATGAATGGATTGAAGCTCAGGTTTCTCAGGTGGTTCTACGCTGACTTGTGATTGTGTTACCGTCAGCGGTGCAGGGAAAGAAAGGAATGAAAGAAGGAAGGGAGGAAAGAAGAAAGGAAAATGGAAGGAAGGAAGGAAGAAGGAAGGAAGGAAGGAAGGAAGGAAGGAAGGAAGGAAGGAGGAAGGAAGGAAGGAAGGAAGGAAGGAGGAAGGAAGGAAGGAAGGAAGGAAGGAAGGAAGGAAGGAAGGAAGGAAGGAAGGAAGGAAGGAGGGAATGAAGAAAGGAAGGAATAAACGAACGAACGAACGAACGAACGAACGAACGAACGAACGATAGGCAGATGGATCTGAGCTGGCCTGTTATTGTGTCAGCGGTGTAGGAAATAAATAAAGGAAGAAAGGAAGGAAGGAAGGAAGGAAGGAAGGAAGGAAGGAAGGAAGGAAGGAAGGAAGGAAGGAAGGAAGGAAGGAAGGAAGGAAGGAAGGAAGGAAGGAAGAAAAGAAGGAAGGAAGGAAGGAGGGAATGAAGAAAGGAAGGAATAAACGAACGAACGAACGAACGAACGATAGGCAGATGGATCTGAGCTGGCCTGTTATTGTGTTACCGTCAGCGATGTAGGAAATAAATGAAGGAAGAAAGGGAGGAAGGAAGGCGGAAGAGAAGGAAAGAATGAATGAATGAAGAAAGGAAGGAACGAACGAAGGAAGGAACGATGGGCAGGTGGTTCTGAGCTCACCTGTGATTATGTTGCCGTCGGCGTAGTTGTCGCCCTGGCCGGCGATGCTGTATGGTTCCGAGTATCCCTGCCCGTCTCGCTTATCGTTGTACACGAGCCCCTCCTCTGGTAGGTAGCCGTCAGGTGGCGCATCGGTGCGTGGGCCGTTCCTCTGGTCTCTCGGTCTTTCGTCGGGATACGGATTGTAGAATGCATCCGGTCCTGTATTTCGTCCGGCTTCGTTGAACGGATTGTAGAGGCCGCCACTGGGCTCATATCGCTCCGTCTGCTGAGCGTAGGGGTCAAAATAATCATAGTCGCGACTCGGGTAGTCCTGCTTTTGCGGATTCTCGCCACCAGGCGGCGCTGGTTCTCGCTCCTCGACGCGAATCGGGTAAATGAGCGGGTCGTCGCCGCCTTGCAGCTCTTGCGACTTTATCGCCGCGTAAGGATTAAACGCTTCCTGGTTTTGATCTCCCGGTCCGTGTTGCTGACCGCCAGGAGGCGCCGACTGATCGTCCCACGGATTGTAGAAGGCAGACGGATCCTCCTCGGTGACTCGCAGAGGCGCCGATCCGATGTGCCTGTTGCCATCTGGCGGCGATTGTGGATGTCCGTCCGGACTGAGGTAGTAGGCGTCGTCGGAGGGCGGACCGCCGTACGTCTGGTAGCGATCGTGCTGCGCTCTGCCGTCGGCCTCGTAGCGTCCGGGCCGCTGCGACGGTGCGTCCTGCATGTGCTTGTCTTCCTTATCTTCCCCCGCTGCGGCCAGCCTCTGCACGTCTCCTGGTGCGTCTGAGCTGGGCCCGCTGTGCGGTCGCCGACCCCTGCCCCGCCCCGGCGAGCCAAGGCCCCTGCCCTGACTCGGACCCTGCTCCTGATCCTGACCCCTGTCTCTACTATCGGCGGCGGCCGCGGCGGATTCCTGATTTTGCTCACCCTCTTTTGTTAGCTTATCTCCGAAAGAGTCGAAGTTGGTGATAAAGGCATCCAGCGTCGACTCGAACGGATTTCCGCCGCTCGGTGCGCCACCTATGAAGCCGGTGCGGCCGTATTGCGGCACGGGCATGGACGAGAAGTCCGGCGCGGCGCCACCGGCGTCCTGCCCCGCACCGCGCTCGTCTGCTGCTGCGCGCGACAGCGGCACCTGTCAGAGGCGAAAACAACTGATGTTACGAATGAACGAGAATGAAACACGTGAGGTGTAAACCAAAAAACGTGATAACCACGATAAAGCATAAATAAATAAACAACGACACGTGCGTCCGTCAACGAATATTAACCGGATATCGGATGTGAATCTAACATGTGATGGCAGCCGGCGAATGCGGCTTACGTCATGAGACACCAGCGGACGGTGGCGCTCTCTCATCCTTAGCGGCAGCTTCAATAAACTTCGCACTTGCGCGTCGCTGTGTGGTTTAGCCACGATGCATTAATCATTTATAGGTACGCTAGAGCGGGCGCGACGATGGAGCGGAGTTATCGCGAACGCAGTGATTGTGTGAGAGAGTTAGCAAACCGGTGGGTCTGTCATCTGACAAGCACTCAGCGTTGCCCAGTTCGTGCGCTCGCGTGCTGCGCTTTAATATTCCAATCCAGTCTTTCTTATTGCGATGCTGAATTATAAATATTTAGAATATATAATATCCGTTATTACAGATACGCTTCGTTGTCTTCTAGCTCGATTGAAATTTTCACATACATTCGAAATTTTTAGAATTTTTAAGGTTGAAAATGATGGAATTTCCGAGACGAGACAGCCAGCTGTGGCGTGCCGCGAGGCGCTCTAGCAAGCAATAACACGAGAGAAACGTGAACACCATATCACGCATATACTTACCCATATTGGTTTTAGCAAAACATCACTCTATGATAGTAACAACAAACGCTAACGTGAAAACAACGAGTGCGCTGTACAGCGAGAAGTTACAGATAGTTAAGCTTATAAGCGCGCGTAACTGCACGGGGGAGGGACAACGTTTCTATCCCATCACTAGCAGTAGGAAGTAAACCCTGCGATACTCCGCAACAAGCAGCAGCAGCGGCGGCTGCTTACGACGGCCAGGAACTAAATAAACCGCGTAATTGTGCTCGAGATGGAAATGCGTAAATTCGCTCAGGCCGCACACAATCGCTTATCTGTGTTTGCGCGCGCTGCTGTGATGTGTCGGGAAGGGGGGCTGTTGGCGATTGTGCTCGCGCACAGCATATAACTCACACACACGCACGCACGCACGCACACACAGACACACACACGCGCGCGCGCACGCACGTACCCACGCACGCATGCACTCACACACACACACACACACACACACACACACACACACACACACACACACACACACACACACACACACACACACACACACACACAAGCATTAGTTTATACACGACCGGGATATGACACAATTAACAGCAAATTACCATCACCGTTATTCACGGAATAGATGTTCAATTGGTCTAGCAATTAATTAGCAATTTGCGTGTAAGGTCGAGCTGGGTACGTTTAATTGTACACTCCAGGTGCTAACCATGAAACCACAAATTATGTTGATGTAGGTAAAATCACACAGCACGAAAAAACTTCTTTAAACCAGTTTTACTGTCCCGTTCGTATTAAAATCGTATTAAATCGCTCGTAATTGGAACAGTGACCTTTCGTAATAATTAGTAAAATGGTAATTTACGCCGCTGCGGTTGTTCGCCCTGGGGTATCCTCGCGCTATGCGATAGATCTCCTGCTATTTCTAGCACTGGTGTGTTTATGCCTGTGCTAGAATTCCAGGAAAAGGCTCTTCTTGTATGGCTATTCGATTAAGGCTCAGCGTTAACGTGCAAGAGAAATAAATATCTTGAGCTGGTGCGACGAGCGTGACTTACACGGGTGTAGATACGTATTACAATCCGCTATACCATCTATTATAAAATATCACTCGCACATTTTAAGTTGTATTTTGATTACGAAGTTGCGGCCATAATTGGTTGACAATATCGTCCTGGCGCAGCACACGTGAATAGCAGATGCTCGCGTGTATCCCTCATGTGTGTATCGCGTGCACGCACGCACGCACACGCACGCACGCACCCACGCACACACGCACACAAACAAACAAACAAACAAGCAAACACACACACACATGCACACATACATACACACAAACAAACAAACAAACAAACAAACAAACAAACAAACAAACAAACAAACGCGCACACACACACAAACAACCAAACAAACAAACAAACACACGCACACACACACACACACACACACACACCCACACACACACACACACACACACACACACACACACACACACACACACACACACAC